AATGTTAAATAAACCAGAAACGTATTGGAATAATGTCTTATTTGAAGATGAAAGCAAATTTAACATTTTTGGTTCCGATGGACGTATAATGATAATGAGAAGAAAAAATGGGGAACTTAATCCCAAGAACTTAGTTGGAACAGTTTAGTATGGCGGTGGAGGTGTCCTTGTGTGGGGTGCATGTCAGCATCAGAACTAGGTAATTTAATATTTATTGATGGTGTAATGAATCATGCTCATTATTTAAATATTTTAAGAGACAGTTTAAAATTATCAGCACAAAATTTGGGTATTGGAAACAACTTCGTTTCATAAAAAGATAACAATCCTAAGCACACGGCTCTCAACGTGCGCCTCTGGTGTCTCTCTAATTGTCCACAAAATTTGAAAACACCATCTCAATCGCCAGATTTAAACCCCCATCGAACATATTTGTAGAGAATTGGAGGTTAGAGTACGAAAACACAACATTAAAACGAAAAACGAACTAAAAACAGTAATGATGGAAGAATGGATGAACATTGATGCAGAAATTACAAAAAAACTAGTGAAATCTATTCCCAAACGTTTAAAAGCTGTTGTGGATACTAAAGCATAACCTACTAAATATTAATTTTAAGAAAAATTAGAATATTTACTAATATGTAGAGATTTTTTTAAAGTGTACGAAGACTTTTGTGAGATAAAGGTTTTGTTACTTTTTGATTATTAATTTCTTAAAAATAAAGTTTTACTATGTTTTTAAAATATTCCACGTAGTTTTGTTAAGAATAGATTATAGATTTTATTATTAAATACCTATTCTGAAATATTTGTTTTAATTAATGGGTAGAGCCCTATTTCATTGAAAATCGTAAGTGTACGAACACTTTTGGGAGCCACTGTATAAAGATTCCCAGTTGCGTATTTTGCTAGACACTTTTTATTTCCCGAATAGATATTTCATAGTAGGGTTGCTATTCTTTATTTAACGTTTAACATTGTGTAAGACAAGAAACTGAATACAAAGATATAAAAATACTAATAAATTAATCAGTACATAGGGAAACAAATTTAAATGTTAAAAGCAAAAGTACAACATTTTGTGTATGAAGAAACGGAGGATTAATTATATTATTTTGAAAATCCAATCTATATTAGTCTGAAATTTGATAGAACACTCGGTTACAAAAAACGTTATAATATATTAAATACAATTAGAATATTATTAATTTACTCATTTTTGTTAAATAGGAAAGCATTATTGAGCAAAGTTCATATATGAGTTAATAGGTTTAATACATGAGATTCTGATTGTTAAAACAGCATACAAACTTAGAATGACAAAATTTCTTCGGGTTCGTAGCAAATACACTTTGCCAGTCGAAAATAGCATATTTATCCAGTTAATTAAGAATTTATTAAGAAAGCTTAAATACTCCTCTTTAACATTAGCTCCAAACGTGAGATTGTGCATTGTTCAATCATCTCCACTTATTTTCAAAATGGCAGAATTTTTATTTTTTGAACATATAACGAGGTACGAATTCATCTTATCTACAGTTTTGTACTATAAATTCAAAACTCATATCTACTTGTGATACAGCATGAAATTAATAGTGAATTTCTCGTTTAATGAGATGATTCATATCTGCGTCTCCTTGCAAGATGTATAATGAAAACGATTCTACCTTTATATTTAAGATTTTCATAATTCAGTTCAGTAATTTCGGAAAATTAGTTACGAGTTATAAGGTTAGTTGATTTTGGTTTAAAGGTGCATGAGTCAGCGTAGACTAAGCAGCAACCTAGAAGTTCCGGAAAAACGATCGCAATCGTTAAATTGCTACATAATCAGAAATTATTTAAAACACAGTATATTTAATGTCACTCATCTTATGTTTCTAATCTTAAAATACGAAAAGTATGATGGTATTTGTCAAAATTTTACATAAATAAAATTCCTTGATAACATCAGCAACTAAAAAAAAATTCACCAGAGTTCAAAATTTTTTTCAGTCGTCAAAGCAGATAACGAAACAATTGTGAGGAAATTAAAAAATTTATAAGCAAACAATCCTGCACAAAATGATGAAATAACTAGGAAAATTTTACATTCGATTGTACGATACTATTTTCTAATACCAATACCTGTATAAGTTCACGAATTTTATGCACTTTTTTTAGTATTTTTTCATTACACACAAAACTTGCAAGATCAATTTGATTAAGTTAGATATTTCCATAAATGTATGCCATATCATTTGTTTAAAAACGCAATTTATAAATATAAAATAGAATAAAATTTATTTTCTATAACAGTTTAATAAATTAAAATAGTAGATTCTGTGAACTAAAGAAAAGATCCTTGATATAGAATGTGTGAATTTGAAACACTGTACAGATATTTTAATGCGAATAAAAGTCATAATGCTACCTTATATAGATTATTGTTAGTATTAATTATATTTGAAATTTTTTACAAAACAATGAAGAAAAAATGCCCCTAGCGACAATAAGAAATAAAAATAGCTTAGAATTATTAAGATATATTATTTAAATCTGATTACAAATGTTAACTAAATAATTAAAACTATAAATAATTCTAACACTATTCAAATTTAATTAATTTGAAATTTCTGTTTGATACAATATCGAATTAAATTTATCGGTACGAGAATGCTTAAACTAGACCTTGAAGAATACACGCTAATTACAATTCTAGTAAATGAAAAGCGTGTAATAATAAAAAAAATGTCAATTAGCGTGAAAAATTCCGTTAGTGAACGAACATTCCCTGTATTTACAGATTTAAATCAAATTTATTAAATTAGAATCAACACAGTGAACATCAAATTTATTAAATTTGAACCTTGTGACTAAAAGTCCTCAAAATCAACTTAACTTCTAGTTGTACAAAATACTACCGATTTGTAACCCTTTCAAAACCGTTAGAAAAATATTATTTGTTTGGATATCTTAAAATGGCAGACACAATATTTACTTTATGACACTTTTTTTTAAACTCCAAACATATGTCTTCCATACACGTGATGGGGGTGAGAAGGAGCAGAAATACAGTCGCATGGTTTTATTATGGCTGGCAACTTTACAGTGTGATTACCACTTGGTCGCAACAACTGCAAGTTACAAACTTCGAAATGACAGCTGTAAGATGCACGAAGAGTAAACTTAAACGTTCAAAGCTCTAAATAAGCAATGAAGCAAATTTGAAACACCTGTTCAGGGCAGGGGTCTTTTGTTTGAACGGAGAAATAAGCTGGTTCTTTGTGTTTAGAAAAAAAAGAGAATCCGAATTAGGGATAGCTAAAAAGAAACATTGGAAACCGAATTTAGAATTGAAGGTTCACAGAGCTAACGGTTATTTTCACAGTAAAATGTCGACGAATGTCTCTTGTAAATCCCTGTTACGAGCAGTAGAAATGGAAATAGTACCACCAAGCGTTTTAGATATATATTTTAAAAGCTTTAATTATGAAAAGTATTGAACGTTGATTCTAAAATTTTAATTTTTTTTTCATATAAAGAGTGAAAGATAATAAATGCTACTAAAAGTATCGTTTAAAATAATAATTGTTTAAATACAGCAATAAAAACCGAATTTTGAATTGAGCAACTTTTTTCTCCCAGTGAAATGCCTAGGAATGTGGAAAAGTACATCTTCAAGCGCTTGTTATGAGAAACGTCTAGTCAAGGAATTCAGCTTTTGTAGTTACAACTCAAGCTCAGAATGTGGAGAAAGACACGCGGTGTAATAATGCGCCCAAATAAATAGTCCTGAGTGTTAACCGAATGTATTTAAAAGTAATGAATCAAATCCATTTACAACAAAAATTTAATTTATACACATATACCCTGTATACTGTGTAATAAATCTCTAGATTTCAGACGAAAATAGCCACAGAGGATCTGGGATTTCGTTAAGGGGGAGTGGAATATTGCGGAAAAATTTTTTCCGCGCTTTTAAATCTTAGAAATTAAGAATCTCTTAATTGAATTAATGATTAATTTTAAATAAATAAATTTTTTATTGATTAAATTTTATTAATTGAAATTTAACTAATTAAATTTTATTAAGTAAAATTATTTAATTCATAAAATTTAAATTGGTTAAATTTTAATTTATTAAATATATACAAGGGCAGATTTAGGAATCCTTAATGGATACTGTGGAAAAACTACTTTTTATATTTTTATTTTTTAAAAAATGCTATATAGTCAACTAAAATTTCATTTTATGTTTTACTCAAAAAGTTTTGTCTTCAGCACAGATTACCAATTAGTCGTGGACAGTCTCCTTGACTTTTTCTTATAAAATATGTCAACCTAAAACCACACTTTCCCACATTTTGCTCGTCATATTTTTAATTCTTATTTTAATTGAAAATCCGAACCTGTTGACTTCAAAGCTGCATGAATATAATTGTCGTCGTGAATTCCATTCTTCATTGGTATAAGGCCTTCTAGAAGTAAAATCCCATAAAATCCCAGGTTAAATCTTAACTCAAGTTCTGAAATAAAATAATCAACTATAGATATAAATATCACTCGTCTTAAAAATTCCTCAGCATTGCTTGAAGGAAGATTTTCTCTAGTTGTTTCCTTGTCACGTGTTACAGGAACCTTCATTTCGCCGTTAACATCGCTGTTAACACCTTGTGTACAAAAGTTAAGTATAATTCGTAAAAAGCAAAAAATTGGAGTTAATACGAGTGCAATGGTTTAAAATTAATACTGGAGAATTGTGGGACGCATAATCGTTGGAACTCTCGTTTTATAGTGAATATTTGGCCACGATGGCTTCTATTATAGTTTAGTTTAATTATATTTACGTTCCGTTTTGAAGCAACGCGAGGGCTATTTTGGGATGGACCTCGTAACGACGAGGAAGACACCTGAGCTAGCACCCCTCTCTCCAAACTTACGCACCACACCTGCGGGAGGAGGTTTGACATCCTACGTATGATTTAACGTGCAACAGGCCCAATACATAACGGGTCTTCAGTGGAATAAGGTTTCGAACCTGTAACCCTCCGGCTCACGAGGCCGACACCTGACCACTAGGTCACCGCCGTCGGAAGGCTTCTAGGAGTAGAGCCAGAAAATGATCAAGAAAAAAATAATTTGGGCTCACACTATTGCACAGAAAGCTGATAATGATTTGTGACTTTCACCAATGGTTTTGTTTGCTAGGCTCAATTCTTACATATATTTTCGTAAAAATTGCACGTATATTCGGAGAGACAAAAAAAAAAACTTCTTTAAGAAATCCCTCCAATCTTTTCGAAAGGTTTATGCTTGCAACATTTAGAGTTTTCAACCATATTGTACAAACCGAATACGTGACAATATATTATCGGAGCATTATATTAAAATTAAAAGTAGATACTTTGAATATTCAAGGAAATATGAGTATTTGTTGGAAATAATTTTTAACTACATATATGAAAAACATAGCATAAATTTCTTTTATAATTTCGAAGCCAGATTATATAGGGCAGCTTATTTAAAATGCCCTGCTGAATACCGTTACTATTCAGAAAGACAACGGAATTGCAGCAAACTAAATTTTAGTTGCTCTCTAAGAGAAAATAAATTATTAGAAGTTGACCTCAAATTCATACATTAAAACGGGGTTACTTCGCACAGATTCTTGACTTCAGAAAGAATTTTGAGATTCTTTACATTTATTTCTCTAAAGAAAGGTTTTTCTAATTTTTACCTCGTTGAGTGATTACTGGAGAAACGTTTTGTAACAAAATTTCGATCATACAATAAGATAATAATAAATTATAATTTTTCGAACATTTAGTGTAAAGCTACCTTATTGGTGGGGATTTTTTGCGCCGCCTTTTTTCGTTTACATTTTAATATCAAACTCACTGTGTGCAATGTTATATACATTTATTGAAAACCTGGGTGGAAATATACAAGAAAAATACATTTTATAAATAACTGATTATAATCAACAATTTTACGCTTTTATATTTGGTCAAATCAGGATGCCGGTATAGAAATCCTTTTATCCAATTATTTCCGTGTGTGTTATTAATTTATCTATCTATTATCATACCTTCTTAGTATTATAAGCATTTATTATCATTTTAAGATCTACACTATCGAGAGGAAAACCGAAGTCACTGAACTGGTCTAAATAAATTACAAGGGCCTTCTCCTTCTCATTGGAGAAAACCAGAGGATTATCAGATTTCCTTATATGAAATTTTCTTTCTTTTTTTGTAAAAAATTGTTCGCTTAGAGAACCGAAAAAAACCTCTGCCTATTTAAACGTACATTAGCCTTGTGAAATTGCATTAAAGCAAGCTTCTAGGGTCTCTGGAGAGAGATCCATATAATTACAAGTTCCTAACTTCCTTTTATACACCCTGGAAATAACTCAAGCCAAAGCAAGCATTGTTCTTCTTATTCTTTAATACAAAATAAATTTAAAAACTAAATGGGGTTGCATTGTACCGCAAATTTCCATGGTGCAAAGAAATCTTTTTCGGTGCAAAGTAACTCCACTTCAGAAAAAAATTGATTACAATTCAACTAACAAATATTATTGCCATTCAAAGTAACAAAAAGAAAGATTGGTTTATGATCTTTCTCATATAAATGCACTTGACTTCAGAAATATTGTATTTTCTTCACCAGTCAGATTTATCAGCACTAAAATTTTCGCTGAAAAACCGGCTCAATGTTTTGTTCCTTCTGTAACCTCCTGAATAATTATTACATACGTTTAAGGAACGAAATTCGCCAGTAAATATTGCCAAGAAACGCGAAAAAAATCTCAAACCCCGTACCCCTAATCAGTTGGTTTCTATTTCACTATTCAACAATAATTCTATGCTGCTGCAAAGTTACCTCCAAAAATGCAAAGCAAACTCTCTTAGTAAATCTTTTAAACTAGAATTTTCGCATGGATATTTAATATATTTCTAACCTTTATGCATTCCAATATCCAATTCGAAGATTCAAATTTAAAATATATCAAATTATTTTCTTAAGAGAAAGTTTCTTTTCCCCACTAATAACTGCATCAGCAATATTTGTTTTAAAACCATCGCCGCATAGTTATGTATTAGTATGCAGTACTTGCATACAGGGGCACTCAGTGAGTGCCCCCGAAAGCCCTGCTACAAACCCCTTGCCCCTTGGATTATCGCTAGTGGACCAGACGAAAAATCAACGAAAAAATAAATAAATAAAAATACATCAATTGTCCGCCATTCTTGGAAAGAGGGGGGCTTTGTAAATACGCACTTGTGTCTGACTTGTTACTATATTACAATTACTTTTCTGAAAACTCTAGATAAGAAAAGTTTTTTAAAAATCAATACATATCATTCTAGGTAGTTTGAGATTTAAGAACAAAAAAAGGAGGGGGGACATGAGCCCCAAAGCCCCACCCTGGATCCGCCCTTGAAAATAGCTTAATTTCATATAGCTCTTTCCGTAGCCATAAGACGAGAGCGATACGCATTATATCTTGCAGCTGTGATGCGGTCGATGGTGCCATTGAATATACTGTCAGCTTGGGATGTCACTGACACTTTTGTCTTAAACGTAGTCTTAATTTTTTTTTAAATACTAAAAACGAAAAATAATGCAGAATGCAAAAATTACTTGTATTTTAAGATATAGTTAAAATTTGTATTTAAGGATACAGTTGAAACTTCTATTTTAAGATATATTTAAAACTTGTATTTTACGATAGTTTTCAAATATAGTTAAAATAATTAGTTCCTGGTAATAAAGTCCTGAAAATAAAAATTTGAAAAAAAAGACTGGGACCCTAATTTTCAAATCAGTTTTGGTAGTGGCGCCTTCGTGATGTATTGTGCTTTACCTGTCTTCGAAAGAATTTCGAAATTTTCAATCATTAATATTAGATAATTTTTTAATTTATATGTATTTACCGAATTTAAAGCATGATATTTTATTTCTGCATCAACAAGACGCATCTTTCCTTATTTTGGTTTCAATACTTAATTCTTTCGAATTTTCTTTTTTAATATCTTAGTGCCCATTATTACTTATTCTCATATTCTTGTCTAATTGGCCAGGTCTAGGTTGAGAATTAGAAGTTTAAATGTCTACCAATGATTATTTAAAAGATTCAATTGCAAAATATAAACACACTGCAATTGAGTGGGCTCGATTAGTCTGTGTATTAAAACTTCGCACCGCTCAGAGTCTAAACATTTTGGAAATGCCGACTAATCACTCACTTAATTTCAAAAACAATACTTTCTTTCTTTTTTTTAAGAAAAATGAATGCTAAGCGTGATCGTTGCTACACATTGAATGCTGTTTTAATAATCTACGAAGTGCTTTGAACATAAATTTCTCCTCCCCCTGTTTTAAATAAGAATAAAAATAAATTGGAAATTCTAGCACATTGAAATCATTACACCATGCGGATTTTTATAAAATCTGTTTTCCTCGTAGTAAGAAGCAAATCATCCATGACTGATTATTACTGTATAATTCAACAACATATGTTCTCTGAATTTATTTGTTTCTTGTTACATAAAGGGCAAGCAAACATAAATCATTTCGTAACATATAGATAGTTAATAAACTAGCAAATTATTTTTCTACACAACCATTAATAAAAGCAGCCATTTTTTCATCTGAAAATTTGACAAAATAATCGTTCTAAATAGTATTTATAACAAATTTTAAATACACCGATACAATAATGAAAAACTTAACAGTGTCACTAAATGAATCATCAACAGATGCTTTCGAAATCGTACATTATAAATAATATTTAATTAGTTATATTTGTTATTATTTTTAAACATAGCTATTTAACAATTACACATTTTTTATCACAAAAATTGTGTCATTGTATAAATATCTTAGTTGCCAGCAACAAGCAGCAAATAATAGCGGCCGACAAAACACGAATCTTTCTTATTCTTTTCGTATATTTTAGTAATTAAAAACAAAGTACAAACAACAAAGTAAAATTGGAATAGCCCTAATTCGGGCTGGATGAAAACTAAACATGAATCTTCTAGCTTGGGATGGACAAAATATGAAAATCAGACTTCTCCATAACAACAATCCATCAATCGCACAACAATCAATAGCTAAAGGAACCAGGGCGGTTTGATTAAACTTTTAATCATATTTAAATTCAGAGTGGAGAGTAACTTTTAGAGGTGATTTCTCATTCAGTTAAATTAAGCCGCAAGAGGAAGGAGCGAGCAGCTGGTCTTCAAAGGCGGCTTTTCAAAAATGTAAAACAATCACTAAAGTAAGTCGTTCATACATCGAGAAATTTCTTAAATCAAATTTATGAAAAAAATTAAAATAGCAATACTAATTGTTCTTTATAAACATGTGTACTAAACATTTACATTTTTATCTTGACATTTTTGAGCTTCAAAGTACAAATACTGGAAAGCGTAAAATCAATAACTACCTTTTGTTTATTTTCATACAGAGTATCAAATGAAATTATGAAATCTATGCATCTCAACAATAACTAAGCAAATCCTTCTAAAGTTTTGAATGCCCAATGTGACAAAAGTTTATCCCTAAAATAAGTTAGATCTATAGGATAACGTGATTGGTTACCATTTACCATTTACCCGATATTGCATTGGAGAAAAAATGAAATAAACTAGAATTCAAGAATACGAAGATATATAATATCCTTAAATTTGTACATTTAAGGACATCCATTTATGCTTCAAACAATTATAAGATAATTTACGAAAACACTTAACATGTCTCCTACAAAATTTAACCAACAGACGAGAACGACTCAGGAATTATAGCTAATCTTTTAGTTTTTCTTTGCATTAAACTACTATGCATCCTTTTCAGAAATGCATTAATCATCAGAAATCTGGAAAATAAATTAAAAATTTTCTTCGGCCGATGAAGGGATGGTTTTTTACGTAACCAGTAAAACTAATCAAGAGATATTATCTCATCCCTTTTGGTTTGCCTAATTCAATTAACATTTATAAACCTCAAGGTTCAGAATTACAGTTTAGATATAAAATCCTTTCCAGATCATAGAAAGAGAAACTTGCTACCAAATTATGAA